TCTCTATCCATCTGTCTCTGTTCATTTGTGTGTGTACCTGGGTGCCTCTCTCTGTATGTATGTGCAAGTCTGTTTGTCTGAGCTGAGTGACTGTATGTTGTCTCTCCGTGTGTGGCTCTGTGTAGTGTATGTGTGAGAGAATGTGAGTGTGGCTGCGTAAATGTGTCCTTGGACTTGTTAACATATGTGGCTGTTTGTGTGCTTGTGTCCATGCATGTCTCTGTATGTGAATCTGTATATCTGTGTCTGTGTGTCTTTGTGTCTGTGAACATATGTGGTTGTGTGCCTCTGTAGATGAAGTTGGTGTGTCTGTGGTTGCTGTGTGCATGACAGAGACAGAAGTGCCGTGTGTCATTCTTCAGCTGGGGCCTGACTTGGCTGGCTTCTCGCTGTGGGGTTATTGGTGATTTCACAGGCCCCCCTCAGATGAAGCTTCGTCTTGCATGCTTTGGATATGTTGCTACGAAAGGCTATTTTTTTTCTATTTTTTTTTAATTTTATTTTACTATTTTTTGTGCGTGTACCCTCAAATTGGATCTGACAGGTACAGGTGGAGATTGCCCCCTCCTTCTCCAGCAGAACATCTGGTGGATTTGAACCGCATACCTCTGGGATTGTAGTGCAACTTCTTGCCGCTCGGCCACCAGAGATCCCTTAGGGAAGGCTATTTCTTGGAGAAGGACATCATGCTTGGAAAGGTGGGGGGAATGGCAAAAGAGAATAAGATTCTCAACCAGATATACTGACACAGTGAGTACAGCAATGGGCTTGAGTAGGGCCGAGATTGTGAGGTTGGTACATGTTGCAGACTGAGGGTCCCAAAGAATGAAATAATTTTATAATTATTAATAATGTGACAGACTACCAGGAATGATATAGAACAAAGAGTGTGAAAAACAGGGGGCCAACAGTTCCCATGACTGAAGGCCCCAAGCCATGCTTCTCTGAGTATTTAGAATCATAAGGAAGGTAAACAAAGTAAAATCACAAGGAAGTACAAAACAAAAACAAAGGATAATGGTGAAGGCTTTGACAGATAAGGCCAAATTCCTCTTTATGCTAATCTCAGGAGGGAGGGATTCAGTTGATACAAACAATGTTGACTCTTAGGGAACACCTTAGTGCCACAAGGGGACCTTCAGCTTGTATTAAGCATCCCTCATTTCCTGATATAGTATTTGGTCAGCTCTATGAGGAGAATTGTGGCATCAGGATTGGTGGAAGATCTATTAACAATCTGTGTTATGCAGATGACACAACCCTGCTTGCGAAACTGAGGAGGACCTCATGCACTTGCTGCAGAGGGTCAAGGACTGCAGCCTTCAGTATGGACTGAGGCTCAATGTCAAGAAGACAAAGATTCTCACCACTGGACCAATTGGCAGCGTCAGGATGGATGGCAAAGTGATTGAAATTGTTCACAGCTTCAGTTTGCTCAGCTCCACAGTCAACACTCTTGGCACCAGCAGTCAGGAAATCAAAAAGCGTATCATGATGGGAAAGTCTGCTGCTAGGGACCTCTCTAAAGTACTCAGGAGCAATGGTGTCGCTCTGGAGACTAAGGTGCGCCTGATACAGGCCATGGTCTTTGCAATCTCTTGTTATGCATCAGAGAGTTGGACAATGACTAGGGAGGATAGAAGGGGAGTGGATGCTTTTGAGCTGTGGTGCTGGAGAAGAGTACTGAATGTACCATGGACTGCCAGGAAAACAAACAGATTCATCTTGGAGAGGATTAAACCAAGCTACTCCTTGGAGGCAAGGATTCTGGGGCTTCATCTGACATACTTTGGACATGTTGCCAGGAGGGACGGGTCCTTGGAGAGGGACATCATGCTTGGGAGGGTGGAGGGACAGCGCAGGAGGGGAAGACCCTCTATGAGATGGATTGATTCGGTGACTGGGGTAATCGGGATGGGTGTGTCAGAGGCAGTGCGGTTGGTGCAGGATAGAGCAGGGTTTAGGGCTGTTGTGCATAAGGTTGCTATGAGTCGGAAACGACTCGACGGCACATAACAACAACAACAATTAGTAAATTTGATATTCGGCTTCCCTCAGGTACAGGGGAGGACAAGGTTCAGACCTGTGGTTCACAAGGTTACTATGAGTCGTACTTGACTCGACAGCACCTAACAACCACCTCCAGGTGAGCGCCCTGCCTCCGCCATGAAGCTGCCACCCTCCCGTTCTGTCTCAGTGCCCTTGATGGGCAGCTATATGTATGCTCAGGGCTGAACTCAGTCCAGCTTGCTCACCTGGCCTTTGCAACCGTGACAGTGAACTTTGCTGCTGCTGTGACATTGTCAAGGACTGTGCTTGTTTGAAAAGTACCTGCATGGGCCCATGGGAGCCCTGGGATGACCCTGGTCCAGAGGACTGTCCATTTTACATCCACTTAGTGAGCCCTGGTGGTACAGCTGGTGAAGAGTATGACTGCCAGCTGAAAGGTTAAGTGTTTAACAGTGTTTAACAGTTTAAGTGTTAAGTGTTTCTCTGTGGGAGAAAGACATGGCAGTAGGCTTCTGTAAAGTTTACTGCCTCGGGAACTCTGTGGGCAGTGCCACCATGTCCTAGAGGCCATCATGGGTTGGAATGAACTTGATGGCCTTTAGTTTTGTTTGGCTGTCCAGGGGGCCCCAGGGCTGGGCCAAGAAGCCCTCTAGGCTGACCACCAAGTGCTTTCATGCCTAGAAAGGCTTCCACCTGCTGCCTTGAGCCACTGTCGAGCACTACACATGGGCCACCCCTGCCCCACCCACCAGGCTGGCTCTGGGAAGTGGGTGAAAGGAGGTGCCAAGGCCAGCATGTGGGCCTCTGGCCGCCTTCCAGGGGGGTGGTGCTCCTCCCTGATACCTGGTACTGAGGCAAGAGGAAAGGACAGGTTTCAGCTGCCCAGGGAAGGCAGGGAAGGGCTGGCCGCTGTGGCCACTGCAGGGCTCCATTCCTTCCCCTCCCTAGGAGGCCTGGGTGGTGGCAGCAAAGGCCAGGACAGCAGCGCTGGGAGCGCAGGATGCCCGCAGCCCTGGAGTATGAGGAGGTCAGCTGGGCCTGGGTGGTCCTGCTGGCCACACTGCTGAGCCAGGCCCTCACGCTGGGCTTCCCGACGTGCATTGGCATCTTCTTCACCGAGCTGCAGCGGGACTTCGAGGCCAGCAACAGCGAGACGTCCTGGTTCCCCTCCATCCTGACAGCTATGCTCCATGCTGGCGGTGAGCAGCCTGCGGGGGGG